GTGCAGCCTGCTCTGGGTGACCCTGCTTCGGCAGGGGGTTGGGCTGGGTGACCCACAGAGGTCCCTTCCAACCCCGACCATTCTGTGATTCTGTGAATACAGCTCAGGTTTTCAAAAGCCGCTTTAGTCAGATTCATTAGATGCTTGAAGTGGGTCTGGGGGCATGCAAGACCCTTCTACAAACCCAGCCCTACCAAACTCCACCTCAAGCTGAACAGGGCACTAAAACCACCGCTCACTTTCACACAGGCACGAATGCTTGCACAGGTGAGAAGCTCAGCGTGGGGAGACTTGTCGGCCCCTGAAGATGTACCCAAAACGCAACTCGCCTGCAAGTATGCTGTGATGGACCACAGCCGCAGGAATTCTGTGCCCTGCACAGGCCAAGCCCTGCCACGCTGCCTCATTAGTGTCTCCCGCCATGGCAAGCACCCGCAGTGACCAGGGTACCCGTCTGCCCCACCGTTAGCAGGCTCATTAACAGTTAATAAGGTGGACGAGTCAACTCACTTATCTCCACAGTGCAGGCAGGCTCCTCCGGCTCCACGACGTGGCTCCCGACGCACTTGAACACTTTGCGGTGGGAGAGGCGGGAGCTGTTGAGTGTTTCCACATGGGTGTCCGAGGAGCTCGTGGAGCTGATGACCCAGCTTGAGTTGTCCAGATCGCGGCCCTCTTCTCTCCAGTGCAGGGTGGGGTGGGGGTACCCCCCCGGCCAGCTGCAAAACAGCTGCAGCGTCAGCCCCGATGAGGTCTCAGCCCAGCACTTGGGGGTTGAGTGCGGTGGATCTATCAGCAAGAACAGCACGTGGTTAGAAACACCTCCAAGTCACAGCTCTCAGCATCTCAGGGCTGGAAGCCCCGCAAGCTTTTTCCATCAGCCCCCCTGGAAGTCTTCGTGGCTTCCCTGCCTGTCTCGGCTCCCCGCCCTGCGTCCCACAGCCCCAGGGGAGCACAGCTCCGAGCGACAGTCAGCAGGGACAGGCAGGAGGCTGTCCTGCCAAAGCCGGACTAATTAATGCACAGGGAGGAAAAAAATTATTGCCACGGCAAGAGAAGCACCTAAAAACGCAGCAGCAGCAGAACGCAATCTCCGTGCTGCCCTCGGCAACTTGTCACAGCACAGGTCCTCGGACCTCAGGTACAAGGGGGTGACACCGATTTGCGCTCCTTGAGAACAAGGCTCTGCCCGTCCACGGCGCCGATGTGAGCGCTTGGACTTCCCAAGAGAACACGGAAAGCGTCAGGGCTCCTGCCAAGGGACAAGTTAGCAGCTTCTCAGAGCCACCGGCTCGGTGTCAGGAGGACGGGGCCAGACTCTTTTCAGTGGTGCCCAGCGACAGGACAAGGGGCAATGGGCACAAACTGAAGCAGAGGAAGTTCCAGCTGAACCTGAGGAAGAACTTCTTCCCTCTGAGGGTGACGGAGCCCTGGCCCAGGCTGCCCAGAGGGGTTGTGGAGTCTGATGCCAAGCCAGGCGTGTTCTGCTCCATCCCAGCCCTGCCGTCGCTGCCGCGCTGGGCCGGATGGCGTTACCCAGCCACGCACCGTGCTCTGCATCCGCACCATGCCGCAGCAGCGGGGACAAACTCCAGCAGAGAGCACAGGCAGGGTAAGGCACCGATGGCCTTGTGCCAGAGCCATCGCTTGGTAACCACCACGACTATGTTTGTTATTTAAGTACAGAAACAACTCCACGATAGCAGGCACGGGTCAGAAGCCAAGAGGAACCCAAGAGCAATCCCTGAGGGCAGCGCGGGGCTCACATTCCCCCCCCCCCCCCCCCCCGCCTCTCCCCCATCAGCTGGTTTCACACCCCCCCTGCACAGACGCACAAACGCGTTCATTTAACACCCACGGGGATTCTGGATCCTGACCCAGGCAGAATTCACACACCGTGCCGCTGCAGCTGGCTCACCTCATCCGACGCTGAACTGAGAGATCAGACGCTGCCAAAGCAAGCCCCACACTTGCCTTGTGGTGTCAGAGGGACGTCTGATTGTTTTGCAGAGCATTTATTCAAATGTCATTTCAAATGACATCAGTTTGAAATAAAAAAACCAAAACATCATGGCAAAACCCCACGCCAGCTGCAAGAATGCCCCTTCTTGGGGCTTGGCTTCGCAGGAGCCATACACCCGCGTTTCGTATGATCTTTGAAACCATCCAGCTCTGGCAAGAAAGTTCTCCACGCCACGTCCTCCGTCCCAGCTCAGTCTCGTAGCTGATCCCAGGCCCTGGCTGCGGTTAGGAAGAGTGACCTGGCAGCCCAAACCACCACAAACTGCCTTGCGGTGGGCACAGCCCTCCCAGGGTGTCCAGCCCTGGTGCCGCGCTTCTTGTCCTGGTCCTGGCAACTCGCCTCCTGCAGCCACCGGCGGG